TAGCCAGAGTTCAGCCCCGTCGTGCAGCGGATCTCCCCCACAAGTAGGAGACGTTCATGCCACGGCCGATCATGTTCGCCAGAGACTTGTGAGCCTGCCGATGCATGTGGCTCAATGGATGAAAGTTTGTTTGGGACAGAACAGCTTGCAGCACAGTCTTCAAACCTGAGTTATGGTGGGCTTTTCAGTCTTATACAGCTGTGAAGAACCCCACGCAAAGTCTGCATTCTGCCACCACGGTACACTCGGCAGACCTTTTGTTTGGGCCGGATGTGTGCGGCATGCCGGAAACGAGGGCATATGCTCTCCTGGAGGAAGGAAGGCCCGTCTATTTTCGACAGAACATGATTAGTTTCTTCAGTCACGGCATGAGCCCAGTGGTTGACTGCAACTAAGGCATAAATCCTGTGTTCTTTGCTTCACCAGCTCTTGTGGAACTGTTTGCAATCCAAATGTCCAGTGTCATCACTAGCTAAGCGGACACCTCCGAGTATTCCAGTTTGCACGGGTTAAAGCTTCTAACCGAGTGGGTGAGTAGTTTGTCGGCTTATCAGCCAGGCGGACTATCGAGGAGTCCCAAGCCGGCCCACGCGGCTGGCATGATCGGTCGGGGCCTGTTGAAAGTTCACAGGCCTTGCAGAGGGTTGATGCTGTTACGCCCATATCGCACTCATGCACGAAGGAATCAGGGGCCAACACACCGCACCACGCGTGCACAGGCTTGCAGCCCCTTCTGTGTGGTTGCATTGAGAGCACCGGGACGAAAGAAGCCGGCAGCACGAGTTCCAGGGATTCGTGTGGACGGTAATACTCACAGGCTCAGCGTGCCGTTGGGAGATGTAGCTGCTAGCTGGCATGGGCCCCATTGCCACGAAAGGAAGTAGCTGCTTGTTCCCCATTTGCCCTCGTGTGGAGTGGGTGGATCTTCAGCAGCTGTGTCTATCCCTTCCCGTGCGTGCTGGAACTGCCGATGTGAGGCATGCATGAGTTGGGTGGGAGCTGGGGAGGCAAGGGGAGCACAGCAAGCCGCTCTAAGTCTGCCATGGCTATGGCAGAGTGGTTGCAGGCCGAGGAGACATGTCAGTGAGTGCCTCAGGAAGTGGCCTGACGGTGAAGTCCCGGAGAAGATAAGGAAGCAAGGGGCCGAGCTTCTGCTTTTGCTCTTGGCTGCGTTGGCACGGCGGGCGTCTTGATCTATGAGCAGCCTGAGCATGCTCGGATGTATACAGACCACGGTACATGTAGTTTAGTAGGGAGGTTCCTCAGGTGTGGTTTATCCGGTACACCGACAAGTGGTACAAAACCAATATATTTTATGTTTTATTCGTACAAGCACTAGTAGTAGTGGTCGTCGTAGGGTAATAATGGTCGTGGTAGTAGCAGTGGTAGTGGCAGT